ACACAACCCACACACACATATATATATATATTATATATATATATATATATATATATATATATATATATATATATAGTATATATGAATATATGTATCTATATATATATATAGTCAAATATCTTGTTCATCCAAGACGTAAGACGCGGATGGGCCGAGGATTATACTTTGAAGATTTCATTCGCGAACGTGTGTGACCGGAAGAAAGAGCATGCGATTAATATCACAGGAATAGATCTGAGTGAGATAGTGAGGACATATGAAAGAAGGGTTTAAAACCCTAAACCCTTCGAAGGCTGAAGTGTCCCATTCCCAGGAACCCTAAATCCTAAACGTTCAGACGAGAACCGGGTGCAAATACACGTCTAGCACACTTTGAGGGGCTTCTACTCAGAGGTTCAGGGTTTTAGGGTTTTAAAGTTATAGGGTTTTAGGGGGTGTATGCGGGAACGATGACTGCCATAATAATGGCCTCGGAAAACAGGTTCGGCAGACGGTGCAATGAAGTGGCTTCATCCGTTATGTACTCATACACAAGACAATCCGTTTATATATATATATATATATATACGTTTACATGCAAATGCAAGTATTATGATAGAGACTCATACACACGCCTAGCCAATGAACTGGACCTCTGGGTCACAAACCAGGGCAATGGACCTATCCCACGCACACGCAGCACCCACATATACTGATCACATAGGTGTGCATATACGCATACATATACACATGTACGGATAGGACGGACATAGCTATAAGGGCACGCACATATACTAAACACATAAGCGTGTACATACGCATACATATACACATGTATAGAGACCATGGACATAGTTATAAGTGCAACCACATATACTAAACACATAAACGTGTACATACGCTTACATATACACACGTACACAGTCTATTAACACAGTTACAGGTACACCCACCTGGCCAATAAATTGGACTTCTGGGCCGAGGGCCGGGCCACAGATGGGGGCAACAGAGTGGCACTCTCCGCTCTAAACACTTCGGCTGTGAGCAGCATATCGGTCGCATCCTGCACCGTGCGCGACGTTGCCATGGCAACCAGGAACGAATAGATGTACTGCGACACTCCCGGATGCGCCTTGGACAGCAGGCGCGTGTTTAGTACTACTTGACTCTGAGTGGGGTTGAGTGAGATAATGTTTAAGTACTGGTAGGGTTTGGGAGGTCTTGTATCTTTATTTGCCTCACAAGCGACTGTACGGTTCCGGACTTAGGGTCTGGGGTCTAGGATGTAGGGTTTAGGGTTTAGGGTTTGGCAATGAACCTTCGTGATTTTGAGGTTTTAAGGCTTTAAGGTTTGACCCTGCATACACTTAACATTCACATTCGTAAAACACACACACATAACATACACATACACATATACACATACACAACTTGCACACAAGACACAAGACATACACAACATACACATACGTAAAGCACAGACACACACAACATACACATACACAGATATATATACAGAACACATACACAAGACACAACATATACACTTAACATACACTACGAAAAACACAAAAACACACAACATACACATATACATATACAAAACAAACAACATGCACACATGCACTTACATATACATAAAATAAACATATGCATACACAGAACACACACACAACACATACCACAATCCCTACCAGATAATGCTACAGCACTAACATGCACTCACCAACGCTTTATAACCCACACGGTGCCGCATGTAGTCTGTATTCAACACATCGTTGTCTGTCATGGCCGCAGAGAGCACTGTCAATGACCCCCCAACAAGCTCAGCCAAGGTCTCCATGAGCGAGAGGGCAAAAGGCCTGTCCCCGTACCTAAACGCCATGGACAGGACAGGTGTACAATGGTTATACATAGG